ATGTATTTATTTGCCATTTGCATTTCTTCATCTGAGAATTGCGTATTCATCTCAGATGCCCATTTTTGGATTGGATCTTTGAATTTTGGAGGTCTGAGTTTTTTTTTTTAATTCTTTATATGTTTTAGACAAGAGGCCCTTGAGAGAGAGTTCAATAAAATCTTTTCCCAGTTTGTGGGTTTTCTTTTCACTATGCTGGAGATTTCTTTTGACATGCAGAAACTTTTTAATAAGAAATGGCCCCAGTTATTGATTCTGGGAAGTATTTCCTGTGTGGTTTGAGTCCTGTTCATGAATTCTTTACCTACTCCTATGTTTCCAAGGTTTCTACCTAATTTGTCTTCCAATAGATTTAGCGTTTCTGTTTTAATATTTAGATCTTTGACCCATTTAGATTTTAATTTAGTACATGGTGATAGACATGGGTCTAGCTTTAGTTTTCGGCAAATGGAGAGCCAGTTTTTCCAGCACCATTTATTAAAGAGACTGTCGTTCTTCCAGTGAACCTGCTTGGCCCCTTTATCAAAGATAAGGTGGTTGAGTGTGTTTGTAGTTGTGGTTGTATCTTCTAATCTATTCCATTGATCTTCGGTTCTGTTTTGATTCCAATACCATGTTGATTTTACTACTGTTGCTTTGTAGTATAATTTCAAGTCAGGGATTGTGATGCCTCCTGCTTTGTCTTTGCTGCTTAGAATTGCCTTTGCGATTCTAGGTCTCTTCTGGTTCCAGATGAAATTTAGGAGTGATTTCTCTAGATCTATAAGGTATGTTGATGGTATTTCTATTGGGATTGCATTGAATCTGTATAACAGTTTTGGGAGAATGGCCATTTTCACAATGTTTGTTCTTCCTATCCATGAGCAAGGGATGTCTTTCCATTTTCTGAGATCATCTTCAATTTCCTTTTTTTCAGTGTGTTATAATTTTCACTGTATAAGTCTTTCACTTCTTTCGTAAGAGTAATTCCTAAATATTTCATTTTTTTGCTTGCTAATGTGAATAGTCCAGTTTCTCTTATTTCCCTCTCTGTGATTTTGTTGTTTGTGTATAGGAATGCTATTGATTTCTGAGTATTGATTTTGTATCCAGCCACATTACTGAATTTATTTATTGTATCTAAGAGTCTTTCAATGGAGTTTAGGGGGTCTTCTATGTAGAGTATCATGTCATCTGCAAACAATGATAATTTAACTTCTTCTTTTCCTATCTTTACCCCTTTTATTTCTCTTTCTTGCCTAATTGCTCTGGCTAGTACTTCCAGTACTATATTAAATAGGAGTGGTGATAAAGGACATCCTTATCTTGTGCCCGATTTTAAAGTAAAGGCTTTCAATTTTTGGCCATTTAGTATGATGCTGGCTGTTGGTTTGTCATAAATGGCCTTTATTATATTGAGGTAAAGACCATTTATTCCAATTTTCTGTAAAGTTCTTATCATAAATAAGTGTTGGACCTTATCGAAGGCTTTTTCTGCATCTATAGAAATGATCATGTGATTCTTATTTTTGGCTTTATTGATATGGTGGATTACATTTATTGATTTGCATATGTTGAACCATCCTTGCATTCCTGGGATGAATCCCACTTGGTCATGGTGTATAATCTTCTTGATGATTTGCTGGATCCTATTTGCCAATATTTTATTGAGGATTTTTGCATCTGTGTTCATTAGGGAGATCAGTCTATAGTTCTCTTTTATAGTTGGGTCTTTCTCAGGTTTTGGTACTAGAGTAATATTTGCTTCCAGGAATGACTTAGGAAGGATTGCTTCCCTTTCAATTTCATTGAATAGTTTGAGGAGTGTTGGCATTAGGTCTTCTTTGTATTTCTTGTAGAATTGTGCAGTGAATCCATCTGGGCCTGGGCTCTTCTTGGTGGGTAAGGACTTAATTACATTTTCAATTTCATTAGTGGAGATTGGGTTCTTCAACAGTTTTACATCCTCGTGATCTAGCTTTGGTACTTCATATGCTTCTAAGAATCTGTCTATTTCTTCTGTGTTATCAAACTTTTGAAAGTAAAGGTTTTCGAAATAGGTGTTGATGATCTTCTGTATTTCTATTGGGTCTGTAGTGATTTCTCCTTTTTCATTTCTTATTGCATGACTTTGAGCTTTTTCTTCCCTTTTTAAAATAAGGTTGGCTAGGGGCTTATCGATTTTATTTATTCTTTCAAAGAACCAGCTCTTGGATTTGTTGATTCTTTGGATTGTTTTCTTAGTCTCTATTGCATTGATTTCTGCTCTGATTTTTATAATTTCCTCTCTTCTTTTGGCTTTGGGCTTGACTTGCTCTTCTTTTTCTAGCTGTTTGAGGTGTAGCATCAAGTTATTTATTTGTATTTGTTCTGTTTTCCTGATGTGGGAACTCAGTGCAATAAATTTTCCTCTCAGGACGGCTTTCATTGCATCCCACAGATTCCGGTAAGTTGTATCTGCATTTTCATTTTCTTTTAGGTATTGTTTAATTTCTTCTTTAATTTCTTCTGTGACCCACTGATTGCTCAAGAGTGTGTTATTCAGTTTCCATGTGTTTGTGGAATTTTTGCAGTATCTTTTATCATTAATTTCTAATTTCAGAGTGCTATGATCCGATAACATGCAAGGGATGATTTCAACTCTTTTGCATTTGATTAAATATGTTCTGTGAGCTAATATATGGTCTATTTTAGAAAATGATCCATGTACTGCTGAGAAGAATGTGTATTCTGATGTTGTTGGGTGGAACATTCTGTATATGTCTATCAAACCCATTTGTTCACAGGTATGATTCAGTTCTGTTATTTCTTTGCTCATTTTCTGTCTGGTTGATCTGTCCCTTGGTGTCAATGGCATATTAAGGTCTCCTGTTACAATTGTGTTACTGATAATTTGAGTTTTTATTTCTGTTAATAATTTTCATTTCTGTTAATAATTGTTTTATATAACTGGGTGCTCTGGAGTTTGGTGCGTATATATTTAAGATAGTTATCTCCCTCTTGGAGTTTTCCCCTTATGAGTATGTAGTGACCTTCTTTGTCCTTTATGGTCATTGTTGGTTTAAAGTTCACGTTGTCTGCAAACAGAATGGCTACTCCTGCCTTTTTTTGGATTCCTGCTGCATGAAGAATTGTTTTCCAATTAAGGAAAACTTCCCAAGCATAGGAAAAAGAAATGATATCGAGATAAATGAGGCATACAGAACTCCAGCCAATTACAACCAAAACAGATCTACACTCAGATATGTAATAATCAAGGTTCCAGAAATTCACCACAAGAACAGAATATTAAAAGTGGCCAGAAAAAAGAAGCAGATCACCTACAAAGAACAAATCATCAAAATAACGACAGACTTATCAACACAAACTATTAAATCAAGAAGGGCCTGGGGGGAAATAGTCCAAGCCATGAAAGAAAATAACCTCCAACCAAGATTAATGTACCCTGAAAATCTCTCTCTCAAAATTAACAGAGAAACAAGATGTTTCCAAGACAAAGAGGAACTGTGGAAGTTCATGGCCACCAACCCAACCCTACAGAAAATACTGAAGGATATTCTAGAGAGAGAGAGAGAAAAAAAAATCAGAATTCCAGCAACAGTGTCAGAGAGGCCTCAGTGAACAAGGAGGACAGTGGAATGAAGGAGAAAAATGGACAAATAATAGCAGAAAAATAGAATAGCAGAGTTGAGGCAGAGAAGGGAGGGTATAATTTTTAACACAGCTAGTCTAGATACACTAAAAAAAGAAACACAGGCATAGTAGATTAGGAGGCAGGATCCATCGAGATGCTCTGAATAGGAAGTATACTCTACCTGAAAGAGGATGAATAAACTGAAAGTCAAAGATGAGAAAACAATGCTCTTTGTTACAGGGAACCAGAGAGAAATAGGGACAGCTCATCCAGCAGCTGCAGATAGGCTGGAAAGTCATGACACTTTTGTGCAGTGTAAAACTACAAAGCTAGAAGGAAGGAAAATATTGTGACTTTAGTAAGTAAAAGAGTATAGTTCAAGATCAAGCTCAGGGGTAAAAGGTTTGACACCACTCACATAGATAGTGGGTTGCCCCCTTAATCTAAAAACTAAAGGAGTTAGTGGGACCCAAAATATACAAAGCATCCTGAGAAAGGGAAAGGTGATGAATTGCCTAAAAAGGAAGGCAGAGGACATTGTTTATAGTGCATCAGCATTTAAAAGCCACAGTAATCTTATCCTGAGCTCTGCTCAGTTTGATTTTATTTTGTTCAGGTCAGTCTACTATACTAGATTTGAGGGCACAGATAGCTATCCCCAAAATAGCAAGCTATACCACAGTAACTATCCTTAATTCCCTATTAACTTAAACTGAAGCCCTGTATTACTTACATTGTCTTACTATGACTGATCTTATTTGAAGTTAGTTTGTTAAACTGCTGTTTTGCCTTGACTGATTTTATTTGAATTTGGTATGCTTGATTATATCGAGTCTAAGAGTAGAGGCAACCACTCTGAAGATGGCAAGATGTAATAACATACCATTCTGGTTTGATTATTAACTGTTTTTGAAGTTCTACAATATGTCCAAAGTTGTGTTTTTATTAAAATAGCTATGTAATGCCATGTTCAATTATTATATGTCTGATGATGTGGACAACTCTATTGAAAATAACAAGAGAAAGCATAGTAACAACTGTAGATCACCTAATAATGTGATTTTATATGTCTTTTTCATTTCAATTTTTTCTAAGAATTTGTTATTTTGTCTTGTTATTATCTGTTTTTCCCTATAATACAGAAAGGATACATATACATGTAGAGATTCACACATGGGGAGAATTTCTAAATGGTTTACAGGAACGGATTATATAATGCACAATGTAACAAACAGATACTCTGAAGAAGAGGCGCTAAAAAACCCAGTGCTAATTATGTAACAATATGATATAAAATCTAGCAAAACTATTACTCACTTTTCAGCATGACATTAGTCTAGTCTCTTAAGTTCGATTTCAGCATACATAAAGAGAGCTCCTATGAAGAGAATGAGGGACATTATGGCAGTCACTATTGACTTCCCCAATATCAGGTCTTGAAGGCCTAAAAAGCATTCATCATCCTGTTATGATCAGATTAGTTCTATAATGTTCAGTATGTATTCACTGTGTGTGAAGATGGGAACAACTATTTGGGAGAAAACTAGAGACAATAAGACAGTGAAGATCTCCTGTGTACTTTCTTTGAAATTAGCACTTCTTAAAATTTTTTCCTTATGATATGTTTTGTTTTGTTTTGGTATGTTTAATCTTACCCTCTTTAAAACATGGGCAATTATTTTGAAGATAGCAAGATGCATTATAGTAGCCATTGATGATCATCTTGTATTTTGTTTTTATATCATATAATATGTCTATTCTTGTTTTAACTGACTCCATTTTGCTTTGTCACATTTGGTTTTATTCTCTTCAAACAAAGTAATAAGAACTGTAGGAGTAATAAGACCTAAAAGGTGTAATTGTTATTATAAAAAAGAGAGGAAAAGAAAGTGCTCTAAAGGATATAACCACATGTATTTTTAAGTGTGTAAAACAGATAACCATATTACTAAGTTTTTGTTGGATCATTGAACAGAACTGTTTGCAGTCTCACTGTTTAAATGTCCACTTTTATGCTTTAATTTTGTAACTTGAATAGCGACTTCTAAGATGACAATATGTAATCTATCAACTAGTGACTTCTTACTGTTTTTTTGAAATTCTGTATTCTACCCTTTTTTCTGTTTTGCTTTTTTCTCTTTAAATAAAATTCTTTATAAAAAATAATTAGGTGATGAGAAACTCGGGTTGTATTTCAGGACACACATCAGGTATCTGATTACCAAAAGAAGTCGTGGCTAAGGTTAGTAAGTCTTAGTAAAAGAAATGCAAAATTTCAGTGGACAAATATATGCTAGATTTTGATACAGTTAAATAAGGTCATGCATTATATTTTTATATACCTAAGTTTATATTTTATTGACAAGATTTTGACAGGAGCATAATTGATGTATAACATTATATTTATTTCAATATTAGGATAATAGAGACCATTGAGTGTGTTTTCCCAAATTTATATGCTTAAAAGTGAATGTGAAATAGAATCTTCAGCTATGTTTTTCTATTTTATTAAGAAATCACATAAACTGTGCCTTCGCTTATATAATGGAGTGATTTCACTCTAAATTTTCAAATGTTTGTTTTTTAATCAGCTCATCTTTTATTTTCTTTTCAACAGTAAAATTTTGAGCCATTGGTAGCTTGTAAATTTCTTTTTAACAAAATGTTCTATAAATATTTTCACTAATATTAAAATAAAATTCTGCACAATTTGTTATAATTTGTAGTTTAAATTTGCTCAACTAAATTTACAAAAAAGAATTCAATGTTTGCAAACATTGTCAGCTTGCTTTCAAATGTGCTAAATATTCACCTGTAGCCTACTAATTAGAAGATATTATTTCAGAAAGTAATACTGCCATTCTAAAATAATTACTGCTATTCTAATTTCCTGTATATGCATTTTATAAAACATTCAAAAACATTGGATCGTATAAAACTGTATTCTGCAAAATTTGTGCTTATATATTTAGTTATTGGATAAGGAAAATATTATACCTATGATAAGTGTTCCAGTTTTATCTGTTAGCTAACAATTTGTCCAACATTAATAGGGAGCTCTAATTCATGGCTGACTACAACACAGAAAGAAGGAAACATTTATTGGTACATTCCATAGTTTCCTGTTCTGTGTAGGAAATTCCTTGAATGTGGAATGATGAGACCATTACTCACTCACAGTGATGTCAAGGGGGCCAAACAGATTCTTTTCAGGGATCTTTTAATGTTACTCCTTTATCAGAATCTGTGTTAGATTCTGGGACAAACTACCTCAACACCTGTGAATTAAAGAAGGAGAGGTTTAATTAGCCTCTACTACAGGAATTCAGTACATGAAAAACTGGTTTCAAGGCAAAGATGTCGTGGTGAAAATGTTCACTTCATGGAAATGTGGTAGCAGCTTACAGGGGAAGAGTCCCAACAACAGAGATACCTTCAAGGTGTGTCACTCCAGCTGTGTCCCTCCTCTAAAACTGTAGTGAGCTATGGATATCAGTGGGTTACTCCACTGAGGAATATAGTGCTTCCATTAGCCACTTACCTCTCCAAGAAACTCTTAATGCCATCAAATAGATGATTAATAGTGACAGGTACAGCATCTTTATTAATTGCGATGTCTGGGAAAAATTATGAAAAGTCAAGCTGCTTTAACATTACTTCATACATTTCCCAGGATTTAGATTGATTCTATTCATCTACAGATAAGCTGATTTAGCATCTCTTGGGTATGAACAGCTATCAGGTAGTAGCAACAAATAAGTTATCTTACAAACCCAGATATGTGTCTCAAAATAAAAGATACATAACTGAAAATATGTACTTTTCTAAAATACTTTATAAAATTTTAGTTAAATTAAGCATATGTTTAAGACACCAGCAAAACTGATTGAAATTAATTATTATATATATCAGAAATCTCCAAATGTTTTTGGTATCACAAAATTTTGGAAGGTATCACCTTCCACAAATCCATTTTGTGGAAGGTAATTTTTTATGGATTGGACTAGGAGTGGTTTCAAAAATGATTAAAATGCATTCCATTTGTTAGGCACATTGTTTCTATTATTATTACATGTAATTTATAATGAAATAATTCTATAACTTACAAAGAAACTATAGGCACCTGAGTTTGATTTTCTGCAACTGGATGATTCCATCTAGGGTGACAGGAAACACATCCTGAGATGTGTTCCTTATGGCATATCTATAATCTCAATTTGGTTGTTGCTCAATGCAGAAAAATCAAATACCAGATGTTGGAAATGGATGTAGGAGTTTAAGTGCTTCGATGTTAAATTGGGATACTCCATCTTGGTTTAATCCAGAACATATGGAGTTTTAAGTTCTCTCAAGCAATCTTTTTTGGTCATCTTTCTTTGTAATTTCAAGTACTTGATTCTCTCCTAGCATAGAAAAGGCAACTGATCTGGTTGATTCACAAATTGTGATAACTGAGATAGTTGATCAAGCATGACTGGGAATAAGAAGTCCCTGGCTTAGTCAGTTTGTTTCAAAATCATTGGTAATGACTGAAACCATAAAAAAATCCCAGCATTAGCTACTCACCTCCAAAATTTCAGCTTGGCTTTGAATATATCCCCTTAATTGGCCAGCTTGAACACAGTATTCATTTTCCCTTAAAATGAGGAATTGAGATAGCTGAGTAAGCTGAGTGTGTGACGTAACTAAGCAAGGTTTGTGATCCACTCTGTTTCACTGAGATGTGCTGTCAGTTGTAATTCTTTAAAAGAAATCTCTCCCGAAACTCTTTGAACTCAGAAATAAGCATTCTAACTTTAAGAAGACATCTCATTTCTCTATATTAGAGATGTGTCTGCTATGAATTTTTCTCTTTAAAGATATATGCAAACAGACATGACTCAAGGCCACATACCTTAAGGTAGTTTGTAGTTTTCTGATATCCTACAAGTGATATTAAATTCAGGGTAAAATGGATCCAAGAGCCATTTGTGAATAAGCCAGGTCAATTAACAGTTCTCCATGAGTGATTTAGTGGGTAGACTTACATTTAGAAGTATTCTCTTTGACCCAAATAATAAAACCAGGAAGTTGTCCATCATGTCAGCTGCTGCAGCTGCTTTATCCGTGCATGTACCAACACAAAATGACCAATTCAGCTTTCCTGATATGTAATCTTTCAAAGACTTGAATCATTGTACAACTGTGCTGTTGGTTGCCAACAGAAGTCCCTTCTCTTGAAAATATGTCACGTATAAAAACATTATTTCCTTGTCAATATGAGTGTGGTCAACCTGGGTCACATTAATCCTCTCTAACATTTGTGGCTCAACAATCTCTGGCAATTCATCAATTCATCTAGTTGTGGTGCTAGCCAAGAGAGGGGCATATACCACCTTTTGAACTCCTTTCCTAAAAGTTAGCAACAAATATCCTGAGCAGCAAGCAGAAACAACTTTTCAGCAATAGTAAAAGACTTCTTAGCTTCTACGATTTGGTTAAGCACTCAGAGTGATGCTATTGGTGCAGACAAATTTGATGAAGTGGTGGGTTTTAATTACTGCTACTGTTCTTAATGTTCTTTATTCATTTGAAAAACTACAAAGACTAGTCTTTTAATGCCATATGCTTACAGTTCTGAAGGTTCCAAAGGTATCAGATTACCATACCTTATAGAAAGGAGGTTTGGAGAGTGTGAATCACCTGTTACAATGAACCCATGATTTAAGTAAGGCTCTTGGTATTTTCTTCCAAATACAACTTTCTTTTTGTTGCTGGTTTTAGAGCTCTAGTCTGTCTTTCTTCTGAAAAGAGCTTTCCAGTGATGTTTGTTTTTCAAACATTATGGGAAGAGTAGGTTGTGGGCTTACCCAAACTGTGATGGGAAGAGGTGCACAGCACAAAAAAGATGTGTGGACAGGAGTGGTAAATAAAATATTGGGCAGATCACATATGAATTAACATTAGAATGGATTCTGAATTAAATCTGTACAATTGAAGGCCATCAATTCACTTGCCACCAGATGGAGCTAATTTTCCTTTGCTACTAACCGATAAGAGTTCTAATATATGTCTTCAAGTAATGGATTTGTTATTTCTATGGAGTCAGACCCCTCTGCTATTGTCCATCTGTGTCTGCCACCACTTTCTGATACTAGTATCACAGCCTCAGCTCCATATTAGATTATTGCCAATCTATTTGGTCTTTTGTAAAAGGTTGAATGATAATGTCTGGTTCTTTACCAAAGTAACATTTTCCTTGCTTTCTACCCTGGATTATTAGGTCTGAGACAGCTTGGAAATAAGGCAAAAGTGTTCTTTTTGGAGAGACTGATAAATGGACCCACATGAGGGGAGCTTGTTGCCAGAACACTGCTGTGGGGCAAAGCTTTGTATTAAAAATGAGAAACTGTAAAGGCTCATTGTAGTCCATAAAGGAAACAGTTTGTTGAGCAATAGCCTCTTCTACTTTACTGAGTGCTCTCCTGGCATCAGGTGTAAGCTCTCGGGGGGAAGTTGGATCTATGTCTCCCTGAAGCAGCACATAAAGGGGCTGTAAATCATGTTTAGTTAGTTTTAAAAAGGGTATGAGCCAATTAATGTCTCCCAACAGTTTTTGGAAGTCATGAAGTGTTCTGAGGCCATCAAGCCTCAGTTGGGGCCTTAAAGAGAGTATTTGAGTGCCACATAATTGAAAACCCAAGTATGTATATGGATCAGTAAGCTGTACTTTATCAGGGGCTATTTGAAGTCCAGCCTCTTGTAAGGCAACCTGTAAGTCCTGGTAGCACCTTAGGGTTTGGTTTTGATCATCTCCTGCCAAGAGGATATCGTCCATATAATGAATAATATAGATATGTGGCCAATGATCTCTGACTGACTGTATTGCAGTGGCTACAAAAGACTGGCATAGTGTGGGGGAGTTAGCCATACCTTGTGGCAAAACTCACCATTGAAATCTCTGCATAGGGGCTTTAAAATTAATTGATGGGAGACTGAAGGCAAAACGCTTTTGGTCCTTTGGATGTAAAGGAATAGAGAAAAAGCAATCTTTAAGATCTATGACAATTTTAAAAAATCCTAAAGGAATGGCACTGGGTGAGGGGAGTCCAGGCTGTAGGGGCCCCATTAAGACCATTGTCTTATTTATTGCCCTAAGGTCTTGTAGCAGCCTCCACTTCCCTGACCTTTTCCGGATAACAAAGATAGGTGTGTTCCAAGGGGAATTACTAGGAACAATGTGGCCTGCATCTAACTGGTCTTGCACCAGCTGCTGTGCGGCTGCAAGCTTTTCAGAGTTAAGGTTGTTTCTAAAGGCTTATATGAATCCCCAATTTGCCATGGAGGCACAGGGAGTGGCGGGCTGCCATCCTGGGACCTGCTGATCATGTCAACAGGTGGAAGTGGTGGCAGATCACCATGTATGAGGACCTCTAACAGGCCATCATTCTCTGCATCTGAGAAATCAGAGGCTTCAGATTTTTATGAGGACAGTTTTGAGGTAGATTTAACGGAGTCGCGCAAGGCAGTCTCACCTAGTGCAACTGTCTCCTCAACCTGAGGGTCTGCATGCCTCTGGGCAAGCAGCTCAGAAATTAAATTCCAATATGTAAAGGTGGTCACAGGAACCTTTTTTGGACCAAAAACTCTATAATAATCTTTTAAAGCATCTCTTACTGTATTCCACCTCTTGGTATCTATAGAACCCTCTAGGGGGAACCAAGGGCAAACCTTATGAATAAACTGAAAATACTGTAATAATTCTTTTGTTCCAACCCTTATCTCTCTTGTCTTTAATGCCTTTATAAGGCCTCCAACGAACACTTCGTGTTCGTTCAATACTTGACCCATGTCAGGGAAGGGAAATGGGGTTGCCGTTCACTCACCGTGACTCGGGCAGGACGTCGGGTAGTCGTCTGCGCAGGTCTTGGCACTTAATTTAATGTCCTGTTGCTTTAAGCTTTAATCCTTGATTCAGTTTACTCATTCCTCGGCCAAGGTCTCTGGTTCAATTTGCTTTCACTTTCAGTTTAAGCCGGCTGTCTCTCGAATGGCTCCCTCGTTAACTTCTCCATGCCAGGAGCCCCCACACTGGGTGCCACTTGATCCGGCCTGCAGATCAACAAGTTCAGAACTCCTGGAGGGGAAACGGGGATTAAATAAAAGACATGGGGGAGACAAAAGAGAGACAAAAGCAAGATGAAATAATCCGATCAAGCTTCCGGTTTATTCAGAAAATAATCACACCTTTTATAGGCTAAGGGCGGGAGCTGGGACAGGAAGAGGTTAAACAGATTAATACAACAGGGTCACCGTCATATCCGGATACGTGACGTAAGCAGGAGAGGATTATGGTTAATGTAGGCAGACGCAATGCCCATAGGAGAGAGAGAGACATCAAGGCAGCAATGCCTGTCACTCGGCTCCCTACAGCTACATAAATTATTTAATTAAAACAAATATTGCAACATGAAATGCAAAAAAATTCAGAAAAACAGGATAATAAAAGGCACAGACATCATTAGTATTATGTGTATTATATAGTATATTATTATTCATTTAACATACACAGAAATGCTTAAATTCAATCAAAATTAGATAATTATTTTGAAAAATTAAAGTACAAGTCAGCCATGGTGGCACATACCTACAATCCCAGCAGACTGGGAGACTGGGACAGGAGAACTGCAAGCTCAAATCCAGCCTCACCCACTTAGGAAGATGCTCTCAAATTTAAAAATAAAAAATAAGGAAAAGAAATTATATCTTCCTGTGAAGTAAGGGCCACCCCAGAGCTGATGGGAAAGAGCCCCAGGCAAAAGTGAAACTATGCCTTCCTAACTCAGCCCAGCACAGTCTGAAAAACCCTTAAAGTATTCCCCCACCACCTCCTTGCACCCCTACTCGGATTCAAGTGCTCAGGTGAGACAATGGCCCCTGTGGGGAAAAGAAACTGCTTTGTATTGTTTAGTTAACTCTGTAGGCCTGGGGCTGGTGGTCAGCAGTCAGCATGTCTGTCTGGAGGGTGGCAGTGTGCACTGTGTCAATTTGGGGAGTATTTGTGTTAATTTGAGGAGTATTCTCCTGTTTGGTTTTTAAAAACCAGTGTTTTGTTCCATTTTACTGATTTGTTCCTATTGTACTCTAAGAAAATAGCTTCGTTATATGTGTATTATAGCAAACCTGTATAGGGGCTTACTAAATGTGTTTGTTTTATCCTTTTTCCCTAACTGATACGTTAAGTGACCTAATTGATATGTTGAGCAACACTCTCCCCTGTAAAGAATTGCAAGAATCTCACCTAATTGATATGTTAACCATTGTTGCCCTCTACAAACTACAGAAGCTGTGCTAAAACAAGCTAACAAGGGTTGTTAATCACTGCTAGGTGCCTCTATTCTCCGCTAAAGAGCTAAGAAAAACTAGAATGGCAATTAATTTACATTTGTTTAAAGTAACCTGCTTGTGTGCAGAGAGATTTGCGTGTGAGTTTAACCCTTTACCCTGACCTTGACACATTACCGCCGTTTTCTGTTCTGTATGGCGCCTTATTGCCTCCCTTTCCCCTCACCTATCTATCTAGGCCATAAAAAATTTGGGTTTCTGGTGACCTCCCCCCAACCCGGTGATGATCTGTCATAAAATGAGCCTGCCCCAATTTTAAGAACTGCTTAGCTTAAAGAAATTACCAGGTAATACTATGGCCCAAACCCCAATCAGTGCTTTCCTTTTGTTCTGTATGTATCAAATGAGTTAGATATCAGGTCTTTGTAAAACTTAAGTTCCAGCGTCTCATAACTCGTGACCCCTTCGCACTCACTAGCGAAGACAAGCTGTCCTGAGATAATTAACTCTCCACTTTCTTCTCCAAATATTGCTGCAGACGTGCCACTCTGAGATAATGTCAGTCTGCAGGATGGGAGTAATTTAAAAAAACACCAGGAACTCCCTAGATTGTCAGGGCTAAGTGGACAGCAATACAGTTTCCAGACTCGGGTCAACAAGTTTGATGGCTCTACAGGTTTCTTTGTTTCTCTCCCCCCGCCCTTTCCTCCAGCCCCTTTTTAAAGTCCTCCCTTCAGCTTCTGGGGGACAGTCTCCAAATTGGCTCCTGGAGACTGGTCGCCAGGCCTGAAAATAAAGCCTTTGCCACCTAAATTTTTGGTCTCTTGCCTCCTTGGATTTTATACCGGGGCCCAAGTTATAACAGTTCCATTCCTGCTTCTGGTAACTGAGCATTTATTTTGAAGATAACAATGTGCAGTATTGCTCTCAGTTTTGTTTTATTCTGATTTATTGTTTTATTTTATTCAATGCTATATTTTAATTGGTTTTATTCCGTTTTGTTTTGTTTGATTTTGGCATGTTTGATGGCATAGACTCCTATTGTGAAGATAGCAAGATATATTATGATAACCATTGTTGATTTCCTGTTGTCTTATTTTGAAGCTTTGTACACTTTCACAGCTGTGTTTTGATTGGCTTTATTCTGTTTTGGTGGGTTTTTGTTTAAAATAAAAAATAAATAATAATAATAAAAAGGGCTGGGAATGTAACTCAGAGCAAAGGTCTCAGTTTCAATCTTTAGTACAGAATAAATTTGAAAGTGCAACCTTGAGAAATAATATTTATCCCATCAATTTCCTACAAAGCACCAGTCACCTGAAAAATCTATTGATTTCCAATTTCTCCATAAATTAGTGTTTTACAGTGCTTCCTTTTTGTCTACTGTTATGTATTGTCATATTTTGTTGTTTCTTAGATTATCCCTGGTTGTTTTTAAAGTTTAACTCTCTGAAAATTTTTTATTAACCATGTGTGTTCATGCTTTAGGGAAATAGTTTTCATAGCTTGGATACATTTATTGTTTTCTGTTATGATTTGCATGCATATATGATTTGTTAGGACACTAATCCTCGTAGGTTGTACTGGTTGCATTTTCTAGCTTATTTTTCCAAATGTTTCTTCCCCAACATAGTTCTTGATTTTAATATATTTGTATTTGTCAATCTTTTACAGTTAATGCTTTTTTTGTTTATTTGTTTTGGTACCAGGAATCAAGCTCTCAACCTTGAGCTTACCAAGCAAGCACTTGAGCCACTGAGCTAAATCCCTGGCCCTACAGACAATGCTTTTTACGTGTTGTTAAGAGAACTTTTGGCTTTGTCCTGGTTTATGTCTGTGGCTCCCAGGCCTCATGCCTTTGCATTGTGATTTGTGATTGGTTCATTGTCTAGTGCTTGGATTGATGGTGTCAGTGCTACACCCACCTAGGAGTGGAGCCAGTATACAATGTAATGGCATGAAGAAGGTGTGTATCTCTCTCTTGGCAGTTTCCACCTTGTTGTTTGCAGCCGCCATGAATTGCAGCCCCACCATTCCACCCTGCCTTGGAGCCAACTGAGTATGGACTGAAACCACACACACACACAAAAACTGTAAGAAATAAACTTTCCTTTCCCAACTTTCAGCATCAGGTATTTTGTCCCAGCGATGAGTAAAAAGTAAGTAAGACACTCCTCTAAATTCAAAAGTAATCACATATTTTAGTTTCATATTTTTCTGCTTAAGTATGCTGGCTGCGTAAAATGCAGGACCCAGTTTTGTTTCAATTCTGTGCAGATGGATAAAATACAAGATAACTAGCTCCCTTTGATTTCAGATAAATAACAAGTAGTTTTTACTATAATTATGACCTTGATGTTACTTGAAATATGCTAATACTAAAAACTTTACCTGATAGAATCAAATATCACAGAATATCTTCTTTTTTTGATGGTTAAAACTGTCAAATTTATATTTAACTTGTTAAATTTCTCTTTTGTAGTATTTTCACTTTTTTCAACTTTACATATGTTTTTCATTGCCTTATATGTTATCAATTTTTTTTATTATTTGCTTAACATGTTAAATATGAAACAAATATTAGTTCCCTAATGTATTCTAGTTTTAAAATAAAGAGATAAATTATCCAAACTGGCACATAAATATTACCCTAATTCACTATTTTCATATTTATGGCCAAATAACACTTCCAACTCATCTGTAGTAGCAAGAATGAAGGAAAGAGGGGCTGTTTGGGTCTGAAACTTGACATTCATTTTAAAAACACGCATTGGAATGAAGTACATCTTTTCTGTTCACATTCTGCTCTCAACAATTTAGAATCATATATGCACATTTTAAACATATATATGTAAGATAGTAAACATAATTGTACTGCTCATTTTATTAGTTCATTGAAAGGAACAGTTAATGCTTATATGTTTGATCAATTTTAGATGCCTATATCTCAAAATATGAGCAAATATTTTGAAGTCAACAATATGCAATATAATAACTATTGTTAATTTTCTATTGTCTTATTTTAAAATCTGTATCATTTTTGTATTCGCTTTAAAAAAGAAGAAACAAGAACTAGATCTTTTTCAAAAAGGAAGAGAACAAAGAGATGGAGGGGAGAAAAGGAGGAGAGAGGAAAGAAATGAGAAAACAATAAAGCTATATAGTATGTATGAGTACCTTCCCCCATAATGAAAGTAACCGTTATGTATGTCAAACATGCACTAATAACAATTTTAAAAAAAAAGAGGGAAAAGGCCAAGGAACATTTACTTGCCCAGATATTTCCATTCAAATGTATGGTTAAAAAGAAATGAAAATGGGTGTAGAAAACAAAATCTCAGATTACAGCTGTCTTTATATAGTACCTGCTGAAATACCAAGGAAAAGCTGTTAGTCCTTATTTCACTTTAAAATCTATTAGCCAGGAGTCAAGAACCACACGCTTACGACACCATGGCATTCACATCCTTCACTAATGAGTCATTCTGTAAACATTAAAATGGTAAAGTTGATTGTGTTCAGAAGTGGCGTTTTTCCTCTGCTCTTTGAAACCATACAAGCATGATTTTTCTTAAAACTTTTACCTCTTAACATTTTAAAACTGAGTTTTCAGATCAGACACACTCCAATGCTTACTGATAATTACATTTATAAACAGTTTCATTTCATCTCTTGCTGAGCTCTGTCAGTCTGTGTTAACAATATAAATTATTTGCAAATCTGGTATACTGTAATCTCATTATATAAAAAGTGTCAGTTGTTGATGTCTTTAAAAACTTTTTTACAGAATTTCAAGCAAAATACAAACAATGGATCAAGTACTATATTCATTCTGCTGCCAAAATTACACTTCTAATCCGGAGTATTTCTTCTTTGAAAGAGTTTAATAACTAGTTGGGACTTAAATAGCATTCTGGAATGATTTTCCAATACCTAGAT